TACGTATATAGTACTTTTAAACAAAGTTAGTGAAGGATTAGGTTAGTTACTTAATATGTGACAAACCAACTAAACCGCTACAATCCACTCTGGCATCAAGCCCGTGTAACTTAGTGCTTTTAACATCGAAATTATGGGTACATCACGTTATCCTTAGAGATGGTATTGCCAAAATCATCGCAATTTTTTTTACATTATGTGATCAAAGCAACATTTGCAAATATTTTGGAATACACATTTTACACACACTGTCAGCATTTTATGTTTTTGAGACAACAACGACAACAAAGAATAGTACCGCATAAAATTATCATTTGTAATCTTCTAAACTATAAATATATAATATACCTATGTATTTTTTAATGTTGTATCATAAAAAAATAAAAAATTCTAAAAATTAAAAAAAAAAATTTAGGGGACTACCCTTAACATTTAGGGGGAAGAAAAATAGATGTTGTCCGATTCTCAGACATACCCAATATGCACACATGAGAATCGGTCAAGCCGTTTCGGAGGAGTTTAACCACAAACACCGCGACACGAGAATTTTATATATTAGATTAGTATAGTCGTAAAAAACTAGTTACAACCGAACCGTCGGATGAGTCCAATAAGACTTTTGTTATTATTCGTATACATTGATATTGATGTAAGGAGTTTAAATTGTTGCATTATAACAATTAATTATTAAATGTAAAATATCTGATACATTAAATAATATGGTTAAATATTTCCTTATATTCTAAAACTGGATTCCTTTGGAGAAAAGCCAGCTTAAGATTGCTACTCAACATGTCCCAAGTTAGAGCTCTCACGGAACCGTTCAAAATCCTTTTAAAGTACATTTTGGATAGATCTAGGCAAGATAACTGTAAGTTCTTTAATAGAAATGCTCTCATAATATATTCGTAACATTTATAGAAGACAAAATGCATTACGCAGATTAATCGTTAAGTTATTGTATTAATATTCCTTTAAATGTGTAATGTGTAAATAGTGATAACGCAGACTATCCTAGACGCATAAATATATTAACGCGGTCAGTATATAAGATATTTAAAGGGTTAAATGTTTAGTTGGTTAGTTGGTCATAAGGTTTTGTTTATTTACTGTAACTACATAAAAAATTACAAGCAACAATCTATAAATAAAAAAATAATTTTAATATTCAGGTGCTAATGTAAACTATTTAATTTGCAATAACACTGAGTTGCTAACTTTACTTCTCGCGAGAGTTGATGCCTCGGGGAGCTGTTGGGTAATAACTAGACGTATTAGCTAACATTACTTCCGCATACACCTTCATATTTTAGTTCTAAAAGTGTCTAATGGAGTGGTTATAAACAAAATATCAAAATCTTATTTCACCTCAATTTCGTCGTTTTTAAGTCATTAGAATTTATTCCATTTATTGACGCACGCAAGCTTTGACGCTTGACCACTTCTGACTTTCCGACCGTATTATAAATTTTAAGAGAATCTAGCCAAGAGGGCTAGCGGGTGTGTTACCGACCTTTCAGATAATGCTACGCTCCTTCCTTTAAGGCCCTAAGTCGTATCGGTTCGTAAATACCTTTATTGGCAGTGGCAACTTAACGTATGAGTGAAACCTCCTACAAATACAAAACCTCTATAAAAAACCTCTATATACTCGTAATAACTATTATGACAAATAATACTGAGGTGACAGTCCTCCTTCCGTTCTGGTTTTAAAAAAACTGTGTTGTGGTAGGATAGGTGTACCCAACATACAACTAAAAATACAAAACCAAAGCAACATAAGAAAGTACAGACTAAAAGAAGGAAACTAAGTCATGACAATAAATTCAGACAAACTTAATTTCTACTGTACTATAATTAAACTTTGAAAAATATTAGCTATTTAATCACAATTATCTGTAATGGTATAAATTAATCTTTTCATTGTTCACTAATCAGTATTTAAATAAATTATAATTAACATTAATTCATTCACTGAACGAACACCTAAGTTTTATGAGTTAATTTGGCTTTGAAACTTTCAAATGTATGACTTGTAATCATTTGGTGTCAGTAAGCGTAGACTTTGCATTCATTACTGCTATTTCCAGCGTTTGCCAAATATACTCTAATAATCGCTCCAGAGGAATTATAAACATCATTTTAGATACAAATTATTTTAACATTGTCTACTTGCTATGTATGAGTTGTTTTGCTATCTTGTTATGTATGAGAATATAGCTTTTGCTAAATTCATGCTTAAAACTATCATATAGTGATGTTATTTGAATAAATTAAGACAAGACGTGAACGACGTGTTTAAATTTCACCCGCAGCCCCTTAACATTTCTTCTAAGCATTATATTTACAATCATTTGAAATAAACACCGTATTGTGGGTACTCTTTACTATATAATGGCAGTCATTAAAATATTTCGCCGTGAAGTAATTTAATAAACCCAGAATTCGGTCTCGTAGCTTCAGTCAGAATGGTTACCGGGAAGGGAGGCAGCGCGCGTGCGCCGTAAGGCTTCCACGGCAGAACCCCGCCAGCCTGTCGACGCCAACCTCGCGGTCGGCTGTCCCTCAGCCTATTTACACCTAAATCCATTCGTGAATCGAATTTTAATCGATATCCATTCCATTATTAATTAAATCGAGTTAATCCTGTATCGGAAAGCGCTTATTATCAAACCGACGAGACATTAAACGAATGACACTATTATTTGTAATGTTTCCTCCGTGCGATTGGTGTTTGTGAAGTGTTTTCAATATGTAATTGGAGTAATTATGAAGTTATTAAAAACTGATTAACTAAACAGGTATGTTGTAATATAGTTATATTAAGCTTTGTCTTATATGTCCAGTTGAACCCCATGACCTTCTTTTAAGGGTCAACGGTGTGTAGTTTATTAAATTAGTATGACGATGTATAGAAATACATGTGTTGCAGCATTAAATAGATTTATTGTAACATAGTCAATCACCAAATAGATAGGTACATTACTAATGAAAGGTTGCACGAGTGAGGCATATAGTCCTGTGGCGTAAAGTCGATATTCCCATCAAAAATAAAAGATTAAAGACGTAGCATAATAAGGCGTGATTGATTGGTTCCTCATTGAGGCTGATCGAAGGTCGTTGTACGATTAAGTGTAAGATCTGTAGGTACAATTTCGGTATTCCTCTGCAAAATATGACGTCCATTATTACTGAAATTTCTAGTTATTTCACCTGTTGTTTAAATCAAATAAATTGTCTTTGAATCATCCAAAGAAAAAATAAACATAAAAATGTGTAAATAAATAATAGATTGTGTTCTATTTTGAAATTCAAATTTTATATAAATAAAACTGCGAGTTCAAGAACTTGTCAGTTGAATGCTCTTGAAGTAAAGCTAACAAACTATTAAAGAAAAATTACTATATTCGTGGAAATGTTTCCACTGAAATAATTTATAATGAAATTCTATTACACTGATAGACATCCACGGCTTTATCCGCATTGCTATATGGATCAAATTTTATAAGGTCAATGCTTATTATCAACTACAATAACTGATAATTAACTTATCTCTTTTTCTATATTTATTTTATAATTCGAGCATTGGACAGCCACCAAACATAAGCGAAGACAATTGTACCTTTATTTCCTTATTCATTTGTAATTTTACCAAAATATGCCTCTGAACTCCTTCGATCTATATGTGTGTTCCCTTCACCACGTATTATATTCATTGATCTTTTTTTCCGAGTAGATAGTCCGCCGTATTGCTTTTTTTCATTGCTTACCAAATGGAAACTATGATGGTTTTGCCAGGATATACATACAGGCTGTAAAGTGTTCCACCACCACTCCACCTAGAGCTAGTAAGAAATCTTCAAAGATAAATATAATACTTACGCGCAAGTTTTATGTATTATAGTATTAGAATTTATAAAGCGTGTACTATTACACATTTTAAATCCAAGACTGTTATTTAAAATAGGACCAAAATAGCATGGATTCCCTTTAAGTCCCGTAGATAGTAAACTAGTAGTAGTAGTTTTAGTAGTTACCTCGTTTATATATACGATATACAATAAATTGTGCTATATTCAAGTTCCAATACCTTTGTTTTTGTATAAAACGAGATAACAATTATAGAAACAATGACTATTTAAAAAAGTACCCTTTGTCGTAAATATGATATAACGGCTCGTTATATAATACAATAAATTACAAAACTATTCGATACATTGTTTCAGGTCGTTTAGAAGTCTAACTTTAAGTTATTCAATGTTATATTTTCGTATCCCACATATATTAGTACTACTACATACAATAGAGAAAATATATTACATCCATTTGTCAAAACTTATGTATTACCATATATGTGATTCAAGGTTCTCGATAAACTTTTTAATTCATGTTTCCATACATCTCTTATTCATTTAAATATCTTTACCGTAAATATTTAGTTTCGATAAGAACGGTTACGTAACAAAGGAATAAGTGCGATTTTTATTAGGATCAGAGTTAATATATATGACAAACAGAGTAGGATAAGAGATTAAAGAATGAAAAAGACAATTGACGGGAACAGATGGTAAGAGTGGCATTAGGACAAGGAAGAAGAATTATGATATAAAGACATAAATTAGTTGGCATCAGCGGATAATTTCGACATTAGGCAGGTCTTCTTTGTAAAGGCATGCATGGATCGATCCCTCAATTGACCGAACCAGTGCCTGTATTTATATAGTTTTATTTGTTTCACTAATGAAAAGATGACGGATTAGCTCTTGGGGTACGTAGAAGGACTTCTAGTGAGAATCTCATAGTACCGTATTTCAAGCCGCATCTAAATTAAGATCAGAATATACATACAAACTGTATTTTTATACGCTTGAAAAGTATTCTAAAAATATCATTTTATTTCAAAAAGGGTGTCTGAAAAGTTTAAGGGTCATCTTATATTGTATTCCAATACCTATACGAATAAAAACTTTAGATATTGTAAAAGTTTTCTTTGTTTCAGAATGAGAGGGGCGAAGGCGGTTTTTCTCATTTTGTTTTTCGGCCATCTCTCCGCCTTACCCGATACAATTCGAATTGGTAAGTTACACAAACAACAATTTACTCAGCATTACTAAGAAAAAATTAACTAAATTTATAATTCCTTATTATGACACTGGAACTGCATACAATATTCATATAATTATAATAACATTGACTTGAATTAGCGATTCAGTAACGGGTTTCAGTTTAAAAAGGTAGCTAATGACATTTAATAATAATAAATATTTGTTATAGTCACTTAGATTGTACATAAACGCATTGCGCCGTGAAATCAAACAATTGTTTTCGACTAAAAGCAAATTTGTTTTGCACACCACACATGAAAGCCAGTGGTTTAACATAAAGTTGCTTTAAAAAAATTAATCTTCAATAGACTGGCTTAAACAAAATTTAAAAAGAAATACTTAAGGGATTCCATCATTTGTTACATTCTAGAGAATTCACGTAAACTTAAGTTAATGATGTATGTTTTTCAGATTTTCCACTAGATCATTTATGGATAATGAATCTTAAAAATTAAATATTTTTCAATATATTATAATTTTCATTTAAATCACGAAAATCAAGAAGACTCTTCAAGAACTCTTCTTATCTAAAATAAATATATACATCCCATTTTAAAAGCCATTTATCCCATTTTACATTTCACATTGTAAAAAATTATATTTTCAGAAATAATTCCGACCGCGCTAATTACAAATTTAAATGGGAAATGTTCTTAACTTCTATGGTTTTTCGTTAAATCTATTGTTAAATATTTATAGTACACCCCTATGAGATTACCGTAACAGGGAAAGTATTAGATAGGTAATGGGTGTCAACATTTACATTCTTAAAATATTTATTGTAACTTTATTGTAAAAGAATATACGGTTTGGAAAATCTTGTTATGTGAACATTTTATCCAGCTTCATTTCAAAAAGCATTGCTGAGATCCTTTTCACAAACATTTTCCCTAATGAAACAAAATTTTTAAAAGTTCCAGCGCTCTGTAATGTGGTTTCGCCACACTAGTTCTTACTTATTGTACACAATACTTTGTATTAAATTCGTATTTTAAGGTTCCATTTTGTGGGGAATTTAATTAAATTGGTTTTATCCGAATTGAAAATTTATATTTTTGTCCATTGTTGTTGAGAGAAGAAATGTTTGAGCAGTGAATATATAATTTTAACTAGACTTAATTTATATAGCTTTTGACGATTAACAGGAGCATTGTTGGCCAAGTGGCCACAGCGTGCGACTCACATCCCTGAGGTCGTAGGTTCGGTCCCCGGCTGTGCACCAATGGACTTTCTTTCTTAGTGCGCATTGGACATGTGCTCGAACGGTGAAGGAAAACATGAGGAAACCGACATGTCTTAGACCCAAAAAGTCGACGGCGTGTATCAGGCACTTAAGGCTGATCACCTACATGCCTATTAGATTTAAAAATGATCATGAAACAGATTCAGAAATCTGAGGCCAAGACCTAAAAGAGTTTGCCGCCACTGATTTTTTTTTGACGATTAACTGTCATACAAAAAATTGTGTTAAAGTTAAATATTCGCCGATCTTCGTGTAATGAAAGATCATAATGGAAATGTATTGGAGTATAAAACAAGTTATTTCTGTAAAACTGGTTCGGATTTGAGTACTATCAGCATTCTTACATTATACCAAGGGAATATAATTGGGTATTTGTAACAGGCGGCCTCTTCCACCCCGAGGATGACAAACAAGAGGTTGCGTTCCGTTACGCAGTGGAGAGGGTTAACGCGGATCGTGCAGTGTTGCCACGAGCGAAATTACTCGCGCAAGTAGAAACTATATCGCCTCAGGATAGCTTCCACGCTTCTAAAAGAGGTATGTAAAGTACGAAAGTCTGAGCTCAATTTTCTTTTTGTTACTATAATGGCTTCTATCTTGTCTTTGTCTTTGCAGACGATATTTTTGAAAGTAAATGTTGAGAATTTATTTTGTTTTCTTACTCTATTCATATTACATGTTTTATAAAATTTGTAGTTATGTTGTAGTTGGGACTCATTACAAGTATTTCATATACAATAGATTCGGTAAGGTTATTAATCCATGTGAAATTCATTATTTCTATAAGAGATTCGCATGTCTTTCTCATGACTCTTATTAAAACTACCCTACAAATTATTATTTAATAATCCTAAGGGTAGGTTAATAAAAAGGCAGAAAATATGTTAAGGTTTTATATCCCATATCCGATACATTATCGAATTGTTTTTTTAACTAATTACTAAGCAACCGTCGAATATGTCTTAAAAATGTATTCCAAGTTCCTCTAACACTTGTGGTTACAACAATTTTATTATTAAAGCAATACTCTTGTGTGATAATAAAAATAATAAGGTGATGGTAACATACAAAATACAGTGTATCAACGTATAGACTTTCAGTATATATGTATTCTTCTAATGTATCATTCTAAAAAATAAATTTATAAATAGTTACGACATAACCATTAACCAATTTCTTAATAAGAATATAAAATAAATTGTAATATTCAGTATGTCATCTACTTCGGAGTGGAGTGGCAGCTATATTTGGGCCGCAATCGGCACCTGCAGCCGCCCATGTTCAGTCCATATGTGACACAATGGAACTGCCCCACTTGGAGACCAGATGGGATTATCGTACGAGGCGGGAGTCCTGTCTAGTTAACTTATATCCTCACCCAGCGGCGCTTAGCCGGGTGAGTGGTTTTGTATAATACTAGCCTGTATACGATACAGCATTGTAATACCATGTTAGTAATTTAATCAACAAAATATTATACGTATTTGTGTCCTAGTATAAAATATACAAGGAAGCTCGTTTGATACACGAGAAACGAGAACGATATTACGTGTAATTTATGTTGTTATATAATTCAAACAATAGAATTTTCCATTGTGTAAAATATGTTAACTTTAAAAACGTGTTGTGCTTATTGGAAAATATAATGATTTTGATTAATGTTACCGAAATTTACTGTAATAACGGAACAGGTACCTGGTACATATTCAAATTTAGAACACCACTCAAGCGAATAAATTGATTGTAGGCATACGTAGATCTAGTTCGAGCTTGGGGATGGAAGTCCTTCACAATAGTTTACGAGAATAGCGACGGTCTGGTCCGACTTCAAGAGTTACTGAAAGCCCATGGGCCGTCTGAATTGCCTGTTGCGGTCAGACAACTGCCCGATTCTCACGACTACAGGTAATTTAACTTGTCTAATTCCAGTTGTGGTTAATAGTTTAATCTCACTCGACCTCGACTACGCTATTATACGTCGAAGAAATAGATTTAAACACTTGCTTCGAAGAACAATTACGAACGAACTTAACGTTCGATATTTTACACTTTTTCGTGAAATAATAGTGCTTATATAGAAATTATAATTCGTTTAAGTGTTAAAATGATAGTATTTAAATGTTTTCCATTTATTTTTGGTAAATTATAATTTACATTCAGAAAATACAAGCTTATATTTATAATTAGATTTTTCAGAATATTTACGCAGTTTAAATGTCACCTCAATGTATATTAACGTACCAATTTAATAAAATACACTTTAAAATGTTATTGACACGAGCATATTAATTGAATTCGTTATATGTATTTATAACATTCATTGAATTATATTTGTAAGAAAAAAGGACATATCTATTTTTTTCTAACAAGGTAACGTTTCTAAGAAAACCTGCCATTCACAAAGTCCAACTTTCATTCTTGTCTGAATCTTTTAGAAATGAATATGCATTTCATCCGTTATTTGTTAAGCGCAACTGAAGACAATTTAGGCAACCAAGAAAATAAACACAGAGGCCCAGGCTCCTAAATGATTAACTCTAGGTACGGCAATGGCGTAAACAAAAACTAACTTTATATTAAAAATAGTATTTCTCTTTGTATAGCCTGTCTATTATAGTCAGAAGTTGAGGTTGAGACATGGCAATTAATATAGCGTTTAATTAGTTTGAAGAATTTAATGTTTTGACTTTAATAATAAGAAATTTTAATATTGGTTCATAAAATTACTTGTCGCTTCTGTTTTTAGCAACTTTATAATTTCCAATTCGCTTAAATTGAATTGCCTTATAAAAATATAAAAGTCCTTATTAAAAGGATAACTATCAAAACTCGTATCAGTTACATAGTTAATGGACTAATAGCGATAATATTCGAGAGAATAAATTAAAAGCTAGTATGACAAGAACATACAGGGATTCGTACTTACAGTTGACATACAGCCTCTTGAGAGCTGTTACAAGTGTTATTTGTTGTTGTGTAGGTAGTAAATTACTTTAAAAGTAATCCTAATCTCTCTCCTATGTCTATTTAGGAACTCTATACGTATACAAAGGCATTATAACTAAATAATAAATCTATTAATATAATGGAATAATTAACTGCTCTAACAGCTAAGTGTTTAATGCAATTCAACAGAAGTCGAAAAACAATAATTATGTACAGAAAATATTTCACCAAATAAAATGGTATGTAATTATCACTGTCTGTAGCAATGTACCGAGTCTTCAGTAGGTTTCATGCTTATACTTACATATATGAAAAATGTACAAGAAATACCAGTCTACAATAATAATAATCTTAGCAATTATTAAAACAGATGTATTTCATAAATTTTAGTCTTCAACGTAACACTAGGGAATAAATAATAACTAGCAATTTATTAGAACAGCTACGGAATATAAAAATTTATGAACGTTAAATTGTTTATTACGGTTTTACGTAACGTAGACACGTAGGATTTGGGCATACGTTCCAGTTACAAGAATAGAACATAATAGAAGTAAAGTAAGTATGATATATTTTAGGCCACTACTCAAGCAAATAAAGAATTCCGCTGAGTCACACATAGTGCTAGATTGTGCTACGGAGAGGATAAGGGATGTATTACAACAGGCACAGCAGATTGGAATGATGTCCGACTACCACAGTTACCTCATAACATCTTTAGTGAGTACAATAAAGAACATCTTTTTTGTTTATGCAATCATTGTTGGACCGATTCAACGTTAAATCGGGCAAATAACTATTAAAAACACACCGGGAAAACATGCTTCCTAAGAGATAAGTATGTTATATTTTTATAGGAATATTACACTCGATTATTTCTATCTTATTGTCTTTAATATTTTTCTTTTTTGAATTGCAATTATTTTATTATTGCGAAATAGTTACAACCACACCACACCACATTACAAATTCCTTTACTGAGAAACAAAAGGATTTAAAGAAAAACAAATTACAATCGACACACAAAAAATGAAACAAATAAAGAGAAAAAAAATATGTATACTCATAACATTTAACTACACTTAAAGTTTTTAAAACTAGCTTAAATTTATTCTTCGTAATTGCTACATTTAAGATGATTTTGTATAAATAAGACGCTTAGGCTAACCGTATAATAATAGTTCCAACCACAAATATGCAGACCCAGCTGCCCGTCGATGTATTTCCAAACCAATTTTCATTCAGCCCTGATATTGATAAAAAAGTTTTCAAATTCCTGAGCTATTTCTGCATTTGAGTTTATTGTATATTATTTCAACTATGTATTTGCGTGTTGTTCCCACGAAAATGTAAGTGCGTGCTCCTATTTCACTATGCCTCCTGCTGATAGAGGACAAATCTTTGTTTTTAATTTATTTTATTATGATTAAATAACTATTGATTACTTAAGATCTCATGTGGAATATGGTACAAACATTGTGTAAACCAAAAAACTTGGCGATTAAAAAGAGTGGCGCAGAGTTTATTGCCCGATCTTGTCTTCCGTTCTACGCCCTTGAGAACTGGCAGTAAATGTAAAATTAGAAACATTTAATATATATTTATTTTTAGACATTCATAAGTGTACATTGTGTTTACCTATATGAATAAATGATTTTGATAAATATTTAATTTATAATTTTTGACGTATATTTACGACAATTAATAAAAACTTTATTGAGTACAAATGCATTATAAAACCGTACGTACAAACGACGCCCTTGAGAGTTTCGGTTTAATATCCGTTGTTATAGCCATGAGGGTTGTATATACATTTACTGGGACCACCCAGGGAGTTAATTTTGAATATTCAGCAAAAATAATAAAACGTGTCATAAAAATTAAGATATTTGTTAAGTGTGTATGCTCTCTAGCTGAAATTGTTTTTAAAATACAATTAGTCTTCATACATCAACAAATCTCCAAGTCACTCGATTTAACGTCAAACTCGACTTTAGTTTCACTTCTTGACCATATAAAATTGCTCTCCCTACATCAACAACAAAATTTGTTGTCGCCACCATTGTCAGTAATGTATGGAGAAAGAAAGCCATAGACAAAGTCAGTTGGAAAAAGCTGCAGGAGGCCTTTACCTGTGAAGGGGTTCCGATCGACGGTAATGAAGTATCTAAGATATTAGCTAGGTTAACAAGAGAAATAAAATAATTTATAAAATGTAAAAATCTAAGTTGTATAGGTATTATCTTTTTTTGTCATGACTGGAAAATTAAAGGGCGTTATTATTATTATTATTAGCTCTTTAAGTCAACTGGTCGCGTAATTGTAGCTCTCAGTCCAATTGTATTAAAAGTTTTTCGACTTACTTTCAAGTATCTAACAATATATATTTGCCTCAATCTTATATCAAATTGTAAAATCGTTTTGACTTTCGTAAAACATACGTATAACGTCGAAAACTAAAAGTACTGGTTTGCTTGTACGAAGAGTGAATTTGTTGCAAAATACGACGTGGCACAGAAGACGAACTTTTTACCTCCGTATAAAGAAAACCATAAATGAACTAGATGTGGTCGTCAATAAAAGCGTCTGCAACGCTTTGATACTTTTGGGCAAACATTGTTCGTTAACACGTGTGAATTAATTTTATAAGCATTAAACTCTTTAATTTGATGTCTATCCTTTCGGGTCAGAGACTTTTGTAATTAAACGTTTGACTGGAGATGATTTTTTTTATTTGAAATATTTTATCACTTATCATCGCGTTAGTATCTGAATAGGGTAAGAAAACTATAAAAATGTTGCATGACGATCATGTATTTTCATTCAGCCCTGCGATTCTGTAACTCACTTTTCGAACTCACACAGCGGTTTTCGCATCGGCGGTCGATCTCAAATCAGTCGTGAAGCAGTCATTTTATGAATTGGCATTCTGAAAAGGTGGGAGCTTGTAGTTTATTGTTTATCAAAGTGAGTTACAGAATCGCAGGGCTGATTCTAGAGCAGTCACAATTCTTAAAAGTAATTAATAATAATAATAAAAGTAATTCTTCCCGTAACCCGAGTCATCTGGTAGTGTTAGTGTCAATGAGCCGCTGTATCACTTAACATCAGGTGAACCTTTTACCCGATTATGTAAGCCTTTGTTCTATAGAAAAACAACGCTCGTGTTTGACATTTAGATTTACGACAGCCAGCAGATGCAGCAATGTGCCTGATGAATTTGATTAGTACATCTGTCTATTAAAATCTAATTATTCCAAACATCTGTAACTACGAATTCAAATACAGGCTTTATTAAATGAATGAAACTTGGGAAATGCCAATTTGAATAATTCAATCAGCCAAAATCGGAGGAATATTAATTACAAACGCTTACGTCGATTGGAATTATTTTATTACTTGATATTTCTTGAAATGGAACTTGATTATCTTGGTTTTATTCATGTTAAAGTTTTTAATTACTCGTTAGTGTTTCTATAGGCGTAATAATCTACTAAAGATTAGATATGGTACGTATTATTTTGTCTGAACAAATTCACAAGCACCCTGTCCCACTATATAAAGAACACTTATCACCCCGTACTGATGTTTGCTGGCACGCATAAGACGTGAAACTCCTGGTTAAAACTATTTGAATTGAATTTCATAACCTATAGAAGTATTATTTTTCTTCTTATCATACAAATTTTTAATTTTTAATTAAAGTTTTTTATAATCATTTATATTCCATATTCTTTTCTATTTTCTAATATCCATTTATTCGAGCCATGAAAGTTAGCCATAATAAGTATATGGAACTTTATTAGAGTATATCAAAGTTGTATTGGTTTATTAAGAACATGGAATAATATTATTCGGTCATTGCAAAGCTAGGTGGGTAGATTAATATTTATCCACCAAACGGGTAGGTTACTTTTTTGCAATGCATTGGCTACCGAGGAGCCTCATCTCGCAGTGAGTCTATTGATAGGAATCAGAGTCGTGATTTAAGGGAAATATCATGAACGAAACTTATCACAAACTATTATATGAATCTAACGTATTTTGACATACTAGAGACACAGTTTAGTGCTAAGTCGGGTCTCTGAATCTGCTAAGTATAGACTACTAAAGTCGTTTTTAATTATATATGTATTATAATTCGTAAATGTTAATAGTAATTATGAATGTATCACAGGATCTTCATAGTGTAGATCTAGAGGAATTCAAATATGGCGGCACTAATATTACTGCACTGAGATTGCTTGATCCAGAGAGAGCTGAAGTACAAAGAGTAGTCAGGGACTGGGTTTATGATGAAGCGAGAAAGGGAAGAAAATTACAACTGGGACACACCTCAGCTAAGGTAATTTTGCTTTAAAATTGCTGTATTTATTTCGATTTATACGCGCCTTGGGCTTTGAATTTAATTGTTGCGTTTGTTTACAGGAAAACATGACTTTTATTAAGGTGAGTGATTTTTCACGCCAAAAGATGTATGAATTTAGATTCAGCAAGATTTTTATTGTGATGAAGTATTTTTAAATTAGGTGTTTGTATTTTTAATTTAAAATCATTATTTAATATAATATTGATATGAATATAAAATTTTGTTACAATCACTAATTTTTACCGGCAATATTAAATTTGAACCAATTCAAAGTGATTTTGTTAGTATTGAACATTTCTCAATACATAATAACAAACTTAATAAACTTAATACTTAATATTTTTATTAACAAAAGCAATAAACTTACCTAAGCGTTGAATCTGAATTACATTGTATAAGTATATATCAAATGAATAAATACAATATTATATAAGTTTTGTTTGTGAATGTTTAATAATCTCTTTTGCAAAAAAACGCCACCTAAGGAAGGTCTATTTCAGTTAATTAAATAAATTTAATTATGTGACGTTATCTGTATACTTTTAATCGTGAAAATTAATATGTGAGAGTACGCGTAAAGTGAATTCTGGCAATTTTTATCATAAATTTTTGAGGAATTCTTAAAAACTGGCAATAAAAACAAGCACATTTTTTTACGTCCCTTTTTTAAATGTGTTATCAGTAAAAAATCGTTTCAGGAATTCGTGAAATTAGTACAGAAATTTTACAAAAATAATTATCTTTTGTTAATTTCAAAATTTAAATTTGGAACGTAAAGAATCACGTCAGGATTCTTTACTAAGTAACCAACATCGTCAAATTAATAAAATCTCTTTTTCGCAATATTAATTGAAATAGAGAAGAAAATTTAAAGTGCCTGTTTTTTGCAAAAGAGTGTAGATATAAAATAAGATAAACCTTAGTTTACTATTAAATTAACAATCTATGTCTAACTGGTATGTGATGTCAACAACAAAAGATTACAAACATTTAAAGCTATTCCTTTTAAACTCGCAACGATTTCCTTGCTTCCTCGAATTATTAGCTGTTGGGCGACTTCGTTTCCGTATAACGCAAATATGACAAGCAAATATTGCCTCAGTAATACTGTACCTATATAAATGTGAAAGAAATTTCATAATGAACTCAATAGTTTCAGAGATTACAAACTAACAATACTTACTCTTTGAAAATTTAAAAATGATTCGTATTATAGACTGAGACGGCACTGATGTACGACGCTGTACATTTATTCGCGAAAGCCCTTCACGACCTTGACACGTCCCAGCAAATCGACGTCCGCCCGCTGTCGTGTGAGGCGGAAGATACATGGCCCCATGGATACAGTCTTATAAACTATATGAAGATAGTAAGTAGATTCTTTTAATATTATGCCTGCTTTTAGTAAAAATATAGATAATATACAAATTCATGGAGTGATCATATACCTACTGGTACATGATCGTCTATTGGGGAGTTTACCTTAGTAATAGTAAAACTTCTGACACGTTTCCTTTGTACGCACGCACTTTTTTATTATTTACACTTCGTTATATACGTTAAATTTATGGAAAACAAATAAAATAATACATAAAATTATAAGGGATGCAGCGGGCGGCTTACCGCTAACAAGTGAATCTTTCCAGGCAACCCTAGTAAGGGAAAAAACTAAAAAAAGAAATATGATGGGTAAAGTACAAGAATCGCATAACCAAATCTTATAAAACCAACCTTGATAAAATTTTTTAAAATAAAATGAAAAGTTAATCTCACGGATTCATGAATTGCGATGCAATACAAAAGAATAAGAAATACAAGAATTACAAAAGTCACGATTGAGTAGAATAGGACATGTTTAAGAAATGTTTATGTAGAAGAGTTTTAAAAGATAATAAATAAGAAATGAACAGAAAATCCAGTATGTTGTAATGCTGGAAACTTACATAAAACTCTGTCATGCGTGAACAGCTATGCAATTTATTTTTTTGAGAAAATACTTACTTGACCATCTGAGCTTATAGTAGTCTAAGTAGATACCCACTTAATGCTATATGATATATGTACAGTTCTATTCCGATAGCGAGTCACGCCTACTATACAATACTTTATCAAAATACACGTCATACACTATATTAGGTTAGAGTAGAAAACAAATTTATATCCTCATTTATGTTAACAACTGCGGAAGAAAGGTAATAGCAGTTATTATGACTCGTCATTCCTAAGTCGGTGCTTTGGATAATATACTGTCTACAGACCTCTTAATACTCATGTTATGAGTACAATATGAAGCTTAGAAGCTCTGCTTATGTGTATCTTGACAGTGACAATAGATATACCACCTTTAGGGCCGAGACGAGGGCTTGGTATTATGAGTAATTATACTAACATTCTTATGACTATGTGTTGATATTATTGTGATATTCTGAGTGGCTCCAAAATCCTAATATATACCTCTTAGCAATAAAAGAAATACATTATTAATCATTCAATACGATACACATCAATACGATATGATTATGAAGAGTATCAGGGTATTTTAATATTCATTAATATTTTTGTTCGTTAATACATTTGTGACGAAATTAGGATATGGTAACGCGGAGGACTGCTTTGATCATAAAGATTTAAAGTTACCATGTATAGCGTGCCTTGCGTGGGACTTAGCGTTTATATTCATGAACTTAAAAATAAATTCTAAGGCAACAAAACCTATAAATAATCACCGGCGTTTTCATAAAACTTCAATCTAACGAGCGTATCACTTTCAATAAAATTTTAATCGCGATGTTGGCGTCATAATATCTTTCATAGTAAACTTTTCATTCTTCAACAAACAGGTGGAAATGAAAGGTTTAACGGGAGTTATAAAGTTCGACCATCAAGGCTTTCGTAGCGACTTTACCCTTGACATAATAGAGCTGACACGGGACGGTCTACAAAAGGCTGGAATATGGAACTCATCCGAAGGTGTAAACTATACGCGGTCTTACGGCGATAACCAAAAGCAAATAGTGGAAATTTTACAGAACAAAACGCTTATTGTTACAACGATTCTGGTAAGTACAGCCAGTTGCTGAATACAAAAGAAAAATATAAGTACTCACAAAACCGTAGTAATATTCAATACTATGTTTTTACAATGGGCTGGTACGCTCTTTTTAATTTCAATGCATGCAGTGGTTGTATTTATTCTTCATTGTATATACCCGAAGATCGAGAACATCCATCAAAAATAATACAGAATTAAGGTTAATGGTTACAATTTACTTCTAATTAAAAGAAAAAACTGTTTAACCGGATTAAGTTTTTTCTTTAAATGTGTAAAGGTTATGTCAATAAAAGACAATACTACTTCTAATTAAATTCTGAAATTCTAAAAAAATTAATTCTGCCTTATTAAAGTTATCTTTGGTACAATTTCATTTCTTAGAGTTCACCATATTGCATGAGAAAGGAGGCGAGCGAAAAATTAACTGGCAACGCACAATTTGAAGGATATGCTATCGATTTAATTCACGAGATATCAAAAGTTCTCGGCTTCAATTACACATTCAAGCTTGCCCCTGACGGTCGGTACGGGTCATATAACCGGGAGAGCAAGGAATGGGACGGGATGATACGGGAATTGTTGGAACAAAGGGCCGATTTAGCGATAGCCGACCTCACTATTACATACGACAGGTATTAACAACTTTTATCGGCAGTCTTTGTTTAAAGGGTAGATCAATTTAACAGTCGTATTTAATTTACATAGTAAATAGTGATAATGAAAGCCCTTAGACCTTAAATATTCCGTAAACCTTTCATTAATGTAATAGGAAATGTTATTAAATATAAAATCTTAAAATTACAAGTCTTAACGTACTAATAAACTGTAGATAGAAGTCATTTGAGCTACGAGGGCGGAAAGTAAAAGATCATAATAAATTCTATGACCTGAGAATGTATTAAGGGAAGCTAGAGGTGTGCATTACACACACAACGCGCAGCTCCGAGATGTTTAATTAAAGAACATCGTACGAAACGTCCAAAGAGTTTTGCAATATTTAACTGAAGATGTAGTATTATTATGGAAATGTGACATCTGAAGCTTTTCATGTGATATTTCTATTTAAAATATGCTTAGTAAATATTTTCATTAAGTTTTTATAGTATCTAAAAATAGATTTTACGCTTAAGGAAAGACGATTTTAAGTATGGCTTTAAAATTAGATTCTATATCTGCCTACAAAAAGCGAATAGAGATTGAAACATATGTGTGTTTCAATTGTTATTTTCAATGAAGGGTTATATGTTTTACTATTTTATATAAGTTTTTATACTCATGCCTATCATCCAAGATATATCACAGAATTACCGCATTGATTACTTATACCTATAAAGTAACAATGAAACAATTTAATTGATTAAGAAATTTTAATACCCATATAATTCAAGTAGTATTTATTTAACCGTATGTTGTATGTTATAAATTATTATGATATTTGTAGAGAACAAGTTGTGGACTTCACGATGCCATTTATGAATCTCGGAATATCAGTACTCTACCGCAAGCCCATAAAACAACCACCAAATCTATTTTCCTTCCTCTCACCATTATCACTTGATGTCTGGATATATATGGCTACCGCCTATCTAGGAGTGTCTGTTCTACTATTTATACTTGCAAGGTAATAGTGATAAATATCTTCGGTTTAAGATTTAGAATTTGACGTTGTATATTATTATTTTATTATCTAATTGTGCTCCCTGTACCAATATGGAACATATGATCGGTTCAGGTGATAAAAATGATCTAGCAAGCTTTGACATGGAGCAAACAAGTCATCAACTTGACAGATCCCAGAGTATATATCGTCCCCGTAGAGCGAAAACTCATTTAGTCGAAAAATGGCCAATTCGAGTAAACAATGCCAATAAAACTATATTTTTTTTCTCTATTTAACTGTCTAACCGTCAATTTTGTAGGTATCATAGTTTCCGATTTACAAAAAGTGAAAATTAAATAAATCTATTCTTTGGCCCTAATAGAAAATAAGAGAAAAGTTATAGTTATAGAATATACTTTATATTAGGTACAAAAATTACATTATTAATTAGAAATAATGTTAACACTTTTTGTACCTTATAGCAGGTGTCTCAAAAGATAGTTTACATTTTAATTCAGAGCGTTATATGAAAATGTTAGACGATTTCTTGGTGCCTGAACTTCAAAGCTTTCCTGGCTATAACCAAAGAACGTGGTTCCAGCAGAACGAAGCAACGTCACACACGTCCAATACGTCTCTGCCACGAGTTCGTGAAATTTTCTCAGGCAAATTGATCTCCAAGAGAGGTGACATAAATTGACCTCCACGCTGTTTTAACCCCTATGGATTTTTTCTTTTGGGGTTATCTTAAATCTAAAGTCTACGCTAATAAGCCGACGACACAATTGAAAAATAATATCCGTCACGAAATGGCAGCCATCACTGAGTCTACCTGCCGAGCCGTCATAAGTAATTTTTTGTTCAATTAAATGAGTGCCGCGAACGCGAGGGTCTACATGTGGACGGTATTATTTATTTTAATGAAATAAATTCCCAAAATGTGTCCTTTAATATAATGAATAAACACTTTTTAATACACGACTTACATTTTTTTAAATCAATCAACTAAATATGAACTTTCTCTTGAGACACCCTATATAGACAACTAATAATATCCATGTTTCAGAATTGTTATACTTAAATACAATAATAATAAAATAGTCAATTTTTCAGTAAAATGTCTCTTTTGTTGTGTTTTAAACCATCCATTAGGTTTACCCCGTACGAATGGCACCAATCACGCACTGCAGACGGCGAAAAAATGGAGAACATTTTTTCACTAGCAAATTGTTTATGGTTTGCCATCGGATCACTCATGCAACAGAGCTGTGACTTTTTGCCCAAGTAAGAGTAGAACAAAATGGCAGTTTATTTAATATCAAAGACAAACTTAACGTTTGTTTTTGATGTTATGGTAACCACAGCGATGTTCACAGGAGATTGAATAATTTTTAAAGGAGAAAGCATATATTCATCATTATACTCGTATGTGTTCCAATTCTGGTTGCAGCTTTCGAAATATGAAATTAACTTAGCAAAATCATACCACCATACCCATTATAAATGTCCGTCCGCCAAATTGGCTCTGGGGTCAAATGGATAGTGAAGTCAGCAAATGACTGGGTGTATTTGGGCGCAGGTTCAGCCCGTACGAGTGGGACAATCCCAGGAACTGTGTTGACGAGCCGCCGGTGTTGGAGAATCAGTTCACACTGTTGAACTCGCTATGGTTCACCATTGGATCATTGATGCAGCAAGGTTCGGATATCGCACCGAAGTAAGTTACAAATGAAAAGTCATTGCAGATCACAGCACACGCCGAACTTGATTTTACAAAGGATATAAAAATCGATTGTTGAAGAAGTTATCTAATTAGTAACAAAGTGACCGCGGCCCTTTGTGAATTTCAAGCTTCGGTGGTCAAAGTGACAAATTGAATGTGTGTGGCGATTTCAACTACTCAGGTTTTCACTAGATAGTTCAAGTTTGTAATTTAGTTGCTAATTGATATGATGTGAATTGGAGTTAGCTAGCAGGGCTTCTGTAGTATCCATAGCTTGCTGCATCAACATGACTTTTGTTTCGTAACTTAAAACCGTGTGTGATATTAGTACCCGCTATTTATTTAAAATGTGTATTTGGTTTAATCAAGTATCTCAATTACTTTAGTAACATCGAACGCGATAGAGAATTAGGTAGTTTACATTATTTGGTCATTTTAACGCTAGAAATAATATATTATCAAAACATTACAAAAACCTATTTAAATAGAACTAATTTCTTGTAAATACATTTTCAAATGTATCGTAAAAAAAGGAAATTTATAAAGCGTATCCCAATATTAAATAATTAATACCCCTACAATTGGCAAATACTACTAAATTTACACATTTTTCAAATCAAACCAGAGCTGTCTCGACCAGGATGGTAGCAGGGATGTGGTGGTTCTTTACATTGATTATGATCTCTTCATACACCGCAAATCTGGCTGCTTTTCTTACGGTAGAGAGAATGGACTCCCCAATCGAAAGTGCTGAAGACTTGGCAAAGCAGACCAAGATCAAGTATGGAGCTTTGAAAGGTGGTTCCACTGCAGCTTTTTTCAGAGTACGTACATTCATTTAATGAGGATAATCTATGAGTATTAAATAACTGAGTTTTAACTCAATAAATTGGCGTAGGACTCAAACTTCTCAACGTACCAAAGAATGTGGTCTTTCATGGAGTCAGCTAGACCGTCAGTTTTCACAACCAGTAATAGAGAAGGGGAGGAAAGAGTTATGAGGGGTAAGGGAGCGTATGCATACCTCATGGAATCGACGACAATTGAATACGTTGTGGAGAGGAATTGCGACTTGACGCAAGTTGGTGGGATGTTGGACTCTAAAGGATATGGAATAGCTATGCCGCCAAGTAAGTGTATAAAATAAATATAAAGACGGCATTATATATATTTGAAAAAAAGTGTGTAACATGACCGTGGTGTTTAGAGATTGTTTAAATTTTAATAAAAATCTATTTCATTAACTATAGGACACAAAACAGCACAAAACTCAAAGTAAATTCGACGCTGACTGAGGCTGTCACGATATTAATGAGTATTGGATGAGGGATCGGTGACTGTGATAAGGCCGTCTGTGCCTCAATGATTTAATATTCACAGTTCGATTTAATTACATGGGGTTGTTCCCTTCGTAATATTAAATTATATAGCTTTGTGTAAATAAGGCTGAAATGGGCTTCGTAAGATAAACAGCTGAGTAATTATAGAAGCACTTACTTTTACAGAAACTTACTTTTAGAGCAATGTTGGCTTAGTGGCTTCAGAGTGCCATTCTCATCCCTGAGGCCGTAGGTTCGATCCCCGGCTGTGTACCAATGTACTTTCTTTCTATTTGCGTATTTAGCTTTCGCACGAACGGTAAAGGAAAAAATCGTGAGGAAACCGGCTTGCCTTGGACCCAAAAAAGTCGATGGCGTGTGTCAGGAATAGGAGGCTGATCACCTACTTGCCTATTGGATTGACAAATGATCTTGAAACAGATACAGAAATCTGAGGCCCAGACCTAAAGAGGTTGTAGTGCCACTGATTTATTTTATGTACTTGTACAATATCTAATTTAATGTCTTTAATTAATAAAAGAACAACCTTATCATCTTTGTGATACATTGCCGCCAAATTTAATTTTCGTGTAAAAATGAACGTTGTACGAAATGCAGGGCTAATTTCAGTCATAAAATATAAGCTATTCACTTTGTAGATTCACCATACCGTACCGCTATAAGTGGCGCTGTTTTAAAACTGCAAGAAGAAGGGAAACTGCACATATTGAAGACAAAGTGGTGGAAAGAGAAGCGTGGAGGCGGTTCATGTCGAGTACGTTCATTTTACGGCTTGTTTACATAGCCTACAAAAAACCTTTTAGTTTTTAAACGCCTAAAATACGGTTTAAATTTTAATGAGTCTGAACCGACTGAGGAATGACGATCTAAATTGCAAAATTTTAAAGCCGCAGTTGCATTATGATGCAATTTTGCGGGCTATGTCACTTTTGTTTGCCTTTTTGGAATGGAATTACAGTTCGCTGTAAGTGAGACATTGATAAATGAACTATGCAAAAGCTTGGCAGCGGTCACTTTTGAATATCTGACCTGGATTATAAGCTTATTTATCTGCAATTCAATTTTCATATGATATTTCAATCCATCCTTAAAGGTATTTGTAGTTTAATCCTTTTGTCTCTAAGCGGTTTTACCTAACATAATTTAATTTAGTTTGGCTTTAAGTTGATTGACGAATAGTCAACTAATATATTATATATGACGGAGTGAGATACATAACTAGATAAATATTAAAATTATTAACAACGTCAAAGTCGATTATGTCGTAGCAATAGCAGCTGACAGTGACGTATATGATAAATGACTTTTAATAATAATAATGACTATGGAGTATTGACTATGAAATAGTCGTTAATTTGTTAATCTGCACAATATAATAACATTTTTTTAACTGATTAGACTGTGTCGTTTTAATTTATATGTTCTATGACATATAATGACAGTGGCAGATGACAGTAATGCCATTGCTTCGATATATATTATATAGTATTTATTAAAATACTGTACGAATTTAGACTTTAATTTTTAATATAAAACACGTGGAGGATACTATATATATATATATATTTATAAAAGAAGGTAACAACGTAAACTATATTTCTCTCGAGCTTTCCCCAGCATATAAGAACCCCTCTGACTACAACTAAGCCCTTTAATAGTGACTATTCTGAATCAGAATAGTGACCCGCAACTTTCAATGAGGAGAGTAGTATATGAAACTGTTTTATAGGATGAGACATCTAAATCTTCGTCAACGGCGAATGAGCTGGGTTTGGCAAATGTGGGAGGAGTATTCGTGGTGCTCATGGGCGGTATGGGTGTGGCCTGTGTTATAGCCGTTTGTGAGTTCGTCTGGAAGTCCCGAAAAGTGGCAGTTGATGAAAGAGTGAGTACTTCTTATACAAATAGTACTAATCATACAGTAAGTAAATATAATGCATAAAAAACAAGTTTAAAAAATTACTTAATACTCGTTCATTAAGTAACATTGTATATCTTGCATATCTTAGAGGCAAAAATCAACGGCCTGTTCAGGTACCTAAGCTCGATCACCTTCTTGTCTATAAAAAGAAATATCACGGAAACAGTATAAAAAATCTGAGGCAATGGCCTGAGTTCATCTTTTTTTAATTGAAAATGCAATACATATATTTTATTAAACTACTTAAAGTTTTATAAGTTCCAGTGCTTTTGTTTTTGTTGTGTTAACGATTTTTCTTTTTTCTAGATTTACTTTTAAAAGGCGTCAGATCGTACGTACATTGTGTGGTTTGGGTAATATGCTAGTAAAACTATCTCTGCTATAATTGCTAAATTTTTTTGGTTCACATTGTCTATGGAATCCAATGTCGATAAATAATATTCTTAAAACACTGACAGACTATTCAGTAGGTTAAATAGGTGTGCGTATCTTTACATAGATTAATACATAAAAATAAATTTGTCAACATTAATTATTTTTTATTTTTTTATGCTAACCGAACAGAAGGAGGAGGTAAACTATTTCTAAGTTCCTACATTTTTACTTCAAACATCGACGAACTTCTACCGTATACTTTTTCGATCAGGCATCGCTTTGTTCGGAGATGGCATCTGAGTTGCGATCCGCTCTGAAGTGTCCCAGTGGCGGAAGTGGAGGGGGCAGTGGACCTCGCGAGGGGGCAGATTCCCCCTACTTACACTACGGATTCAGTACCAAGAGCCAACTGCACTAGCGGCCGGACCGTGCCGCCTCGCCACCGAGCGATGTGTAGGCATGGATAACATAAAGATATCGTACATTGCGTGCCCAAAACCCTGTCAATCTTACACTAAGCTTCAGTTCAATATCTATAATACCAAGCGTATTTTCTGCTAGTTATAGATAATATAAAAGAACGACTGTCAAATGGTTCTATCGCCTTTATCGACTGGTATTCAATACTGAATCTACCGGAACAAAATATATTGCGCAATTATAATTGATACAAAAACTTACCGTGACTTGACAAGGATTTCAGTAGCTGCCTCTTGTCTATTGATAAATAGAAAGGCAGATTTGATAATTCCAATCAGGGTTTTGCTCCACGATGTACTTATTTGTAATTTTACAAAATACAAAAAGAAAATTCCTCCTAAAACCCATACTATACAGTATAATGTATAGTATTCTGAGAAAAGAATTAAATCATTTGTAAAATTTCATACTAATTCCAGAGGATAGTACTTATAACATACTTGATGGTGTATGTCTTTGGTGTAACGGTGGCGATAATGCGCGGGCGCACTCGTTTTACGGGCCTAATACAATATATAATTACGCATGATCATTATTTGCCAACCCTTTTTCCTTCATAGACGTATTTTAGCAAATCATAATTAATTTAAAATTTATTAAAATTGTGCATTCTATTTTTATCAAAATATTTTTCGTTCAATGTAATTTGAAAACAATCCAATGTTTTAAATGTTTTAACGGTTTTAAATGTTAAGGCTGAAGTTTATAAGGCGTACTTAGGCTTAGCTTATACCTTACAAATAAAGTTATTGGTGTGAATAGAATAAGAATTTGCTTGAGCTCTTGCTTAGATGCACTCAGTAATTCTTCAGTTAGAAGAACAATAAATAAGAGACCTGAATTGACGCATATTTGGCGTAAGTAAATCATAAAAAAGTTTAAGTACGCCCAGTAAATTTTGGCTTTGACATGACGCGACAACACAATTCAATGTTTGAAATCGCTATGTATATAATCTTACAACTCATATCGTCGTTTAAGATATATCGTTGTGACGTATGGTTTAAAATTTTTAGCATTAGATTCGTGATGTACTTGCCAAAACTTAAAATTGTGCCAAACTTGTAAATATCATTTAAATCTTCATAACTGTTGTAAATAGTTTTCATGACAAATTGGTATTAAGCAATTCTAGTATAATTAAATTGATAATTAATTGAATCTTGCAAATCCATTTACACTATATCGGTTTCTGGATGGATAATTTTAGTATGTTATCAATTAGCATGAGACTGTGGTCAACACATACCTACTGTAGTAATCGGCATTGTGTAACATTACATATGTATATTATGTGTTCGTTAATTCTAAATGAGTTCCACGGGTTTGTTCACTGTGTAATTAATGTAAATCTTTATTTCAAAATACGCTTCCTTTTAAAAAACTTTGTAACTAACTACAATTGTTTTTTTGTATAATATATAACACTGGATATTTTAAACTACAGATCTTACTTTAAAAATGTTGGCTTTTGAAAATGTTCTATTATGCAACAAAGTTATTTAAGAGGCCAAAAAGGAATGTAATTTAATATTAAAGAGTAATTATGTCTAATCTAATACTTAATAACAAATTTAATATTATTCAATTCTTACAATCAAAGCCATTATAAGCCGATATAATGTTAATGTATAATAAATAAGTAGATCGTAAGATTGGTGTATTAAATTGACCACAATGAATAAATAATTTTATTATAGATGGAAATATGTACTAGATAATTCAATTAATATAATTTATTATAATGAAACACAGTTAATTTGTACAACAGCTCAATGTGTGCCAAAATGTTCTGTCTACAATCTTAATATATTTTGTAAGTTCATACGTAAATTGACTAAAGAATAAATAAAGTAAGTCGTTTGAATTATTACGTCTATTATTGTTCCTTACAATAAAATATTTATAAGAAATAAACAAATAAACAATAAACTACAAGCCCCCACCTTTTCAGAAAGCCAAATCATAAAATGACTGCTTCACGACTGATTTCAGAGCGACCGCCGATGCGAAAACCGCTGTGTGAGTTCGAAAAGTGAGTTACAGAATCGCAGGGCTGACCAAAAATACATGATCGTCATGCAACATTTTTATAGTTTTCTTACCCTATTCAGATACTAACGCGATGATAAGTGATAAAATATTTCAAATAAAAAAAATCATCTCCAGTCAAACGTTTAATTACAAAAGTCTCTGACCCGAAAGGATAGACATCAAATTAAAGAGTTTAATGCTTATAAAATTAATTCACACGTGTTAACGAACAATGTTTGCCCAAAAGTATCAAAGCGTTGCAGACGCTTTTATTGACGACCACATCTAGTTCATTTATGGTTTTCTTTATACGGAGGTAAAAAGTTCGTCTTCTGTGCCACGTCGTATTTTGCAACAAATTCACTCTTCGTACAAGCAAACCAGTACTTTTAGTTTTCGACGTTATACGTATGTTTTACGAAAGTCAAAACGATTTTACAATTTGATATAAGATTGAGGCAAATATATATTGTTAGATACTTGAAAGTAAGTCGAAAAACTTTTAATACAATTGGACTGAGAGCTACAATTACGCGACCAGTTGACTTAAAGAGCTAATAATAATAATAATAACGCCCTTTAATTTTCCAGTCATGACAAAAAAAGATAATACCTATACAACTTAGATTTTTACATTTTATAAATTATTTTATTTCTCTTGTTAACCTAGCTAATATCTTAGATACTTCATTACCGTCGATCGGAACCCCTTCACAGGTAAAGGCCTCCTGCAGCTTTTTCCAACTGACTTTGTCTATGGCTTTCTTTCTCCATACATTACTGACAATGGTGGCGACAACAAATTTTGTTGTTGTAGGGAGAGCAATTTTATATGGTCGAGAAGTGAAACTAAAGTCGAGTTTGACGTTAAATCGAGTGACTTGGAGATTTGTTGATGTATGAAGACTAATTGTATTTTAAAAACAATTTCAGCTAGAGAGCATACACACTTAACAAATATCTTAATTTTTATGACACGTTTTATTATTTTTGCTGAATATTCAAAATTAACTCCCTGGGTGGTCCCAGTAAATGTATATACAACCCTCATGGCTATAACAACGGATATTAAACCGAAACTCTCAAGGGCGTCGTTTGTACGTACGGTTTTATAATGCATTTGTACTCAATAAAGTTTTTATTAATTGTCGTAAATATACGTCAAAAATTATAAATTAAATATTTATCAAAATCATTTATTCATATAGGTAAACACAATGTACACTTATGAATGTCTAAAAATAAATATATATTAAATGTTTCTAATTTTACATTTACTGCCAGTTCTCAAGGGCGTAGAACGGAAGACAAGATCGGGCAATAAACTCTGCGCCACTCTTTTTAATCGCCAAGTTTTTTGGTTTACACAATGTTTGTACCATATTCCACATGAGATCTTAAGTAATCAATAGTTATTTAATCATAATAAAATAAATTAAAAACAAAGATTTGTCCTCTATCAGCAGGAGGCATAGTGAAATAGGAGCACGCACTTACATTTTCGTGGGAACAACACGCAAATACATAGTTGAAATAATATACAATAAACTCAAATGCAGAAATAGCTCAGGAATTTGAAAACTTTTTTATCAATATTCCCTTTAAAACTACCGAAGCTTTAAGTTCATCATCCGCACTTTCTTTTGCGTTACTTACGAAGAATGTAAGGGCATGCCCTACGGAGTTTCGATTTCAATATACAAACCCCCAGGCTGTTATGAAAGCTTTTAAAGATCTTAAAATTAAATCTACAGAAGATCTTTGGGGATTGTCTGTAAAAGTCTGTAGTTCTATCATCGAAACTATTGCGCCTTATTTAGCTTTCATATTTAACACCAGCATAGACCAAGGAGTCTTTCCGGATCTCATGAAACACAGTAAAGTAGTTCCGTTGTTCAAATCCGGTGATAGTAAAGAACCCAATAATTATAGACCTGTGTCAATTCTGCCAGCTCTCAGTAAGGTTTTTGAAAAGTTAATGCTCAATCAAATGTTATGTCACTTTAATAAAAACTCCATCTTTCATGAACAACAGTACGGTTTCACCAAAGGGCGTTGTACAACTGACGCCGGTGTCTCCCCTAATCAAGAACATTTTTAACGCTTGGGAGGAAGCACAAGATGCCATTGGAATCTTTTGCGACCTTTCGAAGGCGTTCGATTGCGTAAACCATGAGACTCTTCTGCTGAAACTTAATCACTACGGGATTAAGAACAAAGCTCTGGACTTACTAAGATCTTACTTGAAAAACAGACAGGTTAAAGTTCAGGTTAACGGCATAAACTCGTTAGGGTCTGAAATTACAATGGGCGTTCCTCAGGGTTCAATATTGGGTCCATTCCTCTTTTTAGTATACATAAATGATTTACCCCACTTAGTTCAGAATAAACCGAAGATGGTGTTATTTGCAGATGACACATCATTGATTTTTAAAGTAGATCGACGGTCACAAAATCTTGACGACGTGAATAACTCTATTCTTCGGGTCCAAAATTGGTTTACGGTAAACAATTTGGCACTGAATGATAAAAAAACTAAATGTATTAGATTTACGTTGCCAAATGTTAAAAGTAAGGAATGTGACATAATGTTGAATGAAGGAAAACTGGAATTTATTAATCAAACGGTTTTCCTAGGCATCACGCTAGACGAGAAGTTACAATGGGGACCTCATATCACATCTCTTGCGGGGCGGCTGAGCTCAGCCGTTTATGCGGTTAGAAAGATAAGATATTTAACCAATGTAGAAACTGCGCGTTTGGTCTATTTTAGCTACTTTCACAGCATAATGTCTTACGGCATTTTACTGTGGGGTCGGGCTGCTGACATAGAATCCATTTTTATTTTGCAAAAGAGAGCGGTCAGAGCCATTTATAATCTACGTCGTTGCGAATCTCTCAGGG